TGCTCTTCATCACGTACACTTCATCCTGCACCTAATCAGGCATCTTTTTTCCCACATCAGAGTGTGCTTCGGTCTTCCACTAGGCTCGCATCATCAGGGCAATACTAGGCAACACATACTGACCGTTTCGGTCTTCAGCCGCGCTCGCATCTTTTTGTGTTTGTGTGCGCTTCGGTCTTCAGCCGGGCTCGCATCTTTTTTTGTTGGTGTGCGCTTCGGTCTTCAGCCGGGCTCGCATCTTTTTGTGTTGGTGTGCGCTTCGGTCTTCAGCCAGGCTCGCATCTTTTGTGTTCGTGTGCGCTACGGTTTACCACCGGACTCGCATCATCTTGTATTTGTGTGTGTATGCGCCTTATGCACTAGTGATTCTGCCATTTTACCTTTACCCACTCACTTCATACCTTCACGGCTTTTCAAATTGCACTTTGAAACGACAAAAACAATTCTACCATCACTCAATTTAAGAAAATTGACACAACTTAACCCCAGTACTCATACACTCCGTTTTCATACGACAACAAAATAGCTGCTGCTCTTCCCTACGTCCGAAACTGTGTCGTGTCAACTTAACCATGTCAAATACATAAAAAATCTCCATCCATTTTATTCATTAAATCCTACTTACTTTGATTAATCCGTTCGGCTGCGCCAAATTGTAGAGTCCCTCCAGGAGGCAACAATCGAATTCACCAGAAGGAACACTTTCGGAACTCGCCAATAAAACTCGTTTAACCACTTTAACTTTAACAGACCGTTTTATTCACTACCAGTCGCAACAATCGTTCATCGGCTTCTGCCTCAATAAATCTCCCTTACACCGAGGCGCTCGTTTGTCGTCGTCCGTTCTCTCTCACTCTCTTTGATTCTCCCGCTCGATATACATACACTGCAATAAAAGTTCACTTAATATTCACCTGAAAAAGTACGTAGATATTTTCCATCGTACTCTTCAGGTGAAAATTACGTGTTTTGCGAATGAAAATCTGTTCCATGTGATTCATATAGAAATCAAGTGATTTTCATGTAAATTTTATCAAACGTTCTGATGATCTACACATAGGTTTCACTTTATAGCTACGTGAATTTTAAAGTAAATGTAACTGGATTTTATAGTAATATTCAAGTGCAAAGGTGGTAGATTTAATTTTAATTTCGGTTTATTATTTTATTGAATTTATCATAAACAATGCATTCTAGTTCAAACAGCAAAAAAAAACACAATTCACTGATTTGCGATGTTGTTCAATTTCAGATAAAGTCCCTAAATTTAATTTATTTTTTTATTAGATTACAATTCAACTCTATCTCATAGATTTTCATTTTCATTAATCATTTTCTGTATGAAATAGTAGAAACAGGAAATTAAGTATTGGTGTATTGACATCTTCAAATTTCGATTACAAACGTTTCTTTTTTTTAACCTCCATTTGACTTCCGTTTGTCGAAATAAATCTTGAATCATATCGATTGAGATTGTGAGGAGCTCAATCAATCCGATTCCGCATTCTGCAATTTAATTTAGGATTTAATAAATAAGGATTAAATTATTAATATTAAACTCACGCTTAGAAAACTTCAAGTAGACGATCTAGGGATTGTTCACATATTTGCCATTGTCGCCATATTGAACTTATGAATAAGCAAAGAGCACTAAAAAGAAATCTCATTCGTAAAACCTACGTGAATTTCACATAACTTTCACCAGTATGACACTTCAACTCGACCAGTCAATCCAGTTGAATTCATTAGCATGCCATTGAATATTAAGTGTAGCAAGTAATTCGTACTGTATTACCACAGACAAACAGACATAACACATTGAATATGTCGCACTGTAAAACATCGTCGCTAAAACATTACCGCCATCTGTTGAATACACTGTGGTGGGTAGTACGCTGAATAGATGGCGGTAGTGTGTAAATGTCAAACGCAAGGAAAATAATTATGCGCGCCACAGGTGGCGGTACTACCAACTACGATACTTTTTAATTGACCGTTAAATGCTTGTGCGATGAACAACTTGCGTGTGTTATGTCTGTTTGTCTGTGGTATTACTATCTTTAGGAAGTTACCTGAATTTTCAGGTGAAATTTACGTTTCTCGTTGGTTCAGTGTAGGGCCGCGGCCAGGGTGGACGCGACACGCGACGCGACGCGATGCGACTCACGCAAGGAATAATAATAAATAATAAGATTCTTTTGAATTGGTCGCGTCGCGTCGCGAATCGCGTCTACCCTGGCCGTATCCTAGGTCTCTTCCGGGGGTGGAGAATGGTTGCCATATTTACGTTTATCAACTCTACAATTAGGTTTTAAATGAGAGTAAAAGGCATATATTGTTGCCTTTTAGGCTTTCAAAAGTGTATCATAAAATCTCCTCTGTTTACAAATTGAACTTTAAGGATGGATCCTCATAGTGAATAAATAGTCGAAAGTCGATTTCAGTAAAATTTAGTTCCGGCGGAACGGGTACCATCAACGACTGAGCATCTGGTGGAGAAGAGTGAAGTGAGCGTGGTCCTCAAATTCATAAAAAATGTCAAAACAGTCTGAAAACAGACCAGCCTTCTCCAGACCTTACGGATAGATGAAGTTCGGAATAACTCAGTACCGACAGCAAGTCACTGAAACTGTCAGTTAGCGGACACTAGTTAGTTTCCGATCCATAGCTGCGATTTTATTCGATGAAAGGGTCATCACTTGGAAAAAAATCATTCAACCGTACATTCCTGCATCGTTTAATGGTGCACTTCCAGAACCATCCGGATGAAAGGGGATCTTTTCGGGAATGATCAAAATTACAACTGTGCGAAATGTGAAATGTTGTGAACACTTTCTGAGTAAGTGCTTACAAGCCATCGGGAGAGAATCGCCTGGAAGAACGCTGAATCGCACAGCGCAACTATCGAAAAATAAACAAACTTTGACGTTTAGCATGTTGTACGCAACATTGTCGCCATAAATGCTGCCATAAATCTGAACGGGTAAGGATCAAGCAAAATGGCTTTATATAAATACAATTCAGTCTGCAAGTTTTCTTCATAAAAGCTATTTCAAAACCTTATGAATTTGTTAAGGATTTCTTGAAAGCAAAATAACTTTTTAACAAATGGCCCATGAAAAACAACTCTTATGCCTCCGCCATATTACAATTATTTTGTTTGTTTTTTACAATCTTCGATTTCAATCGATATTTCCTTGGATATAACTTTATTTTAGTTAATTTAGCAATGAGAAAATATTTAGAATGCAAAAATCATGAGAAATTAAAATCTCGGCTTAGCTAAACGATCGATCTGAAGAATATATATTTTTTTTCTAAATGTAAAATAATTAGTAAAATCGATGTTTTCCGTGGGCGGACTCAAGTTTTTCGATGTTTTCACGTACATTTCACATCAAATTTAATATGGCACCTAAAACTAGACCTCTTCATGAGAACTATTTAAAAAAATTGAAATTCGGCAGGATTTTTATACGATTAGTTTTTATTTGAATTATTTTGATAACATCGGATGGCATTTATGAATCTTTTTTATCTTGATTGTTGTTTTTCTAGTGAACTTAGCAAGCAGCTAGGGTAAATGGCTCGGATAATGGTTTTAATTGTTGCCAAATAGCTTTTATTGTAATACGGTTTTGAAAAGGGTCTCAATGCGTTTATCGTACAACCATTTTGCAGTAAATCAATCTTGATGAGCTTCGAAAATGTACCCTTCAGAACCTTTTCCAGAGTGGGCCAACAGACAGATTCTAGCATCAATGAGGTTTTGGTGGATGCATCAATGGCAAAGCAGTCTTAACCAGGGTTTTATGAATGTTGTTTTTTAGTAGTTTTGTAGTATTTCATAAAACTTAAAATGTTACTTGGGACATACTCATTATAATACATTATTAAGGTTCAATTTACTTTGATGCTTTTTGGAAAATTGCAAAAGCAGTTTTTTTCCGACGCATTATTTCAGATTGCAAAAAGCTCGCACTATTCGATTCCTTTTGATATTTTACACAAAATGACGCGAACTTTTGCTTGATGTTTTCCAGATGAGACTGGTATGCTTTTATGAGCAGTGCAGTTCCCCGTCGGTCGCATCCATCGTGTGCTCATGAAGGGGAACTGCGCCGAGCTTATTGTTACGGGTGTCCCAGTCTACTTGGCTGGTGAATACACTGCCGAACTTTTTGTCAGTGCGAACTTCAAGCTGAGCTGGGGTTTAAAAGCAAACGAGCAAACTGACGTTTGTCAGAAAACAAGCAGATCCAATCTTGATACCCGATCCAGTTTGGAACTGAATAATAAACGAATTCGCTATTAATATAAAATGCCTATCCTGATTTCCTTTCTTTAAAATATATATATATCTGATAATCCTGGTTGGACAACAGATCAAAACGTAACTACAACCGATCTGATCGACAGTTGTAGTTATTTATTGGTTGCTTTGTGGATATTAAAAAAACGCATGATGAGTGGATGTTTTTAATGGCGAATAAATATCAAAAAAATTAATGAATAAAAATAAAAGGTCCTTTTTTGGAACTTAAACGTTCCAATTACAAAGGTAATCAAAGATTGAAATAAACAGAAACAGGGGAGATGGCAGCATTGCATGTAGCATGTTATTTGCTTTCCCGCTCAGGGGTGTAAACGAAATGTCATACACCGTAGTCTGGCAGTGTGAATGTTTTGTCTACGACATTCTTATACACGTGCATGTGTAACGTCACATTTGCTGTTGTATTGAAAAGTAAAAGAATAAAAGAGACGGCAGATTTTGCTCACCATACCAGTTGATATATCCGATTCATTGACTGTTTTGGCACGGCGACGCACGCTACCAACGAATTTTACCATACTTTTAGAAAGTGATGATTTAGGATTACAAGAAGAAGAAGCAAAAGCAAATCGAGTGATGGTTAGTTGCCTCTTAAAAAATATATATCTCAGATAATCCTGGTTGGACAACAGATCAAAACGTAACTACAACCGATCTGATCGACAGTTGTAGTTATTTATTGGTTACTTTGTGGATATTAAAAAAACGCAATTCCTTATCCATCTGTTGCTTATATTGCCATCATCGCCATCTTCCCAGTAAAATCTACTGCTTTTTCTGCTTAGCACTGATTTTCCTGGTCTTTCGGCAGCAGCATGCCTTAACCATACATAGCAAAATTACCACCGTAAGTAACACGACACCCAGCACATCCAGCAGCAAATATTGCACGATCGAAAGGTTAACCGCATTGGACTTCAAATGTGGTGCTCCCTTATGCCGAACCACGTAGTCCATCCAGAACATCGATTCACCCATCGGATCCACTATTGTGTCCCGGAACAATGTGGCAATCTCTTTGGCCCGTTTGAAGTAGCTCCGGTTTTCGATCATTTCCATAATCTCGTTCGACAGCAGCTCCTCGGTTATATCCACAAACAGTATCTTCCGCGCATACCCACTACGGACGGCTCTAAGTGCATTCCGGTGTTGGTCTCCGAAGAATGGCATGAAAAGAGTCGGAACGCCGTTGTACATGGACTCAAAGGTTCCAAATTGACCGCCGTGCGAAATGAACAGAATTACGTTCTTGTGCGCCAGGATGTCATTCTGTGGAGCCCATTTGCGAATCATGACGTTCTTCGGCACATTTTTGAGATTGTCGGTTTCAAACTTCCACACCACCCGTTGTTTGAGCTTTGAAAAGACATTGAGCAAACTTGTCCGCTTCTCGACAGGCATCTCCGAACTCTGCAGGTACGCTCCGAGCGAAAAGTAGATCACTCCATGTTCGGCTTCATCCATGAAACGTTGTAGGTCATCCGGAAGAGGCTTGTTGGGCCGAATATGGGCACCAGCGACGTCCACGAGCCCGGGCATGGACGGGCGTGGTTTGGCCAGTGTTGGATGACTGTTAATGAGAATTACAGAAATGGACTTCTCCAAGGCTTGAACGGAAGGTAACGGTCCTCGCTGTTGTTCGAGCTCACCGAAGAACTCTTTCGCCAGTTTGTTTTGCTCCGGAAGGTAGTGATACTCGCGGATGACATAGTCCAGCGTAGATAGAAACACGTTGTAGGCCCGCTGGAAAAAGTTCATCTGATCTTCGTAATCCAGTATCATGTGCGGTACATAAGACCACGGAGTCAGAATTCCCATAGCTCGGTCCATAAAGTCCGAATATCCGTAGGTACTGATGGTGACGATCGGTGCGTTATACTTGTAGGCGAACATGAGCCAACTTTCCTGGAAGAATTGCTCGGACACTACCAGGTCAAATTGCAAGTCATCGCGCTTCAGAAATGCCTGCACGTGATCGTTCTCCAAACCGTGACGACTCGTTTCCAGTCCCATCCTCCAGTACAGAAACAGATTGTTGAAGTCATTGTTGTAACTTTTCGTTTCAAATATCGTCGAAAGAGGAACTGAAAGTTGGAAATTTGATGTGGTGAAAATGTCGAATTCGGAATCAAAATGAACTCTGAACTCACATTTTTCCCGAATGGGATAGGCCGGATCAATCAGCACTTCCGTATAGTTACCCAGTGGTTCACCGAATTTGAAACTCGTCAAGCACGTTACCTCATTGCCCCGTTCCGTCAGCTCCCGGATAAAGTGTTTCAGCATTAACCAGTGGCTAGGTCCAGTGAATGGAACCAGAAAGAGTACCTTGTAGCTGTGCACCGCCGTCACTAGCAACGCCACTGAAATGAGCAAACGGATTGTATGCATGCTGGATGACTACTATCTCCAACGACCGACTTAGAACTGAACCCAAAAATTCTACACACGAATTCAAACTGTGAATGATGCGGCGTTATCAGCTGGGCTTGACTACCGATAGTGGAATTAAACAAAAGAATCATGCTTCAAGTGGGTGATAAAGCAGCGAGAGAGATAATGTCTGGATGGAGAGAAATGTGCCGGTCATCTCTAATGTTCATCATTGACAGAAAGCGCCCTTGATTGCAAAACTGCTTCTAATGTTGTGATTGCTACCTGTTGAGAGGATTGTAAACATATGATTAGAAAGGTTTGTCAATAGCAGGGGATTCATGGGGGGTTGATTTTATTTTTCTGAATATCGCGTGACGTACTTAATGTTCTCAGAGTAACGGCATCTAATCCAGTGTTTCTCAATAGACGGGTTGCGGTTGGTCGGTGGTCATGTTTTAAAAAATTCGTGCAAAATTTATGAGAATTCAATTTTTTTTATGGGATTATCCTAAATGAACTACAATAACAACCTTGGTTATACTAATTTTTCTAATTTAAACCTTTTACTGGGATCCTATTTTCTTAAATATTTAGGCGTATGGCATTTGAAAGCCAGTTAGGAAAGTCTATGCCATTTGAACTTTTTCATGCTATTTTGCACACTTAATCACGGTTTCCTTATTCGGTTTTTTTTTTACAGTTTTCAAACAGTAAATCTCAAAAACTACCGAACATTCAGCTATTCTCAATAAAACTACTGATGTTCAGTAGTTTTTGCGAGAAACTACTGAATGCGGTAATAGTAAGTACTGAATTGACCGTAAAATAACAGTTTTAGGGGAAATGACTAAAACTCAGCGAAATATTAAACCAAGTTTTGCAGAAACATTCACGAAATTGGACAGTTTCTGCTCTTCTGCATCGACTTCCAGATATTCCATTGTTCAAAAGCAAAAGCATTCAATTGTGTTTAGTAGAGCCGGGGGTGGAAACTAATGATTTTAAATTGATTCACTGCTTGAGTAGCCTATTGGTCCCAAGTACTTCTATGGCGTACCACATTCTAGTTGAAATTCTATTACTACACTATGTTTGTTTTGATTCGCTATGAAAGTTTGACAGATAACATCAGGGGTGTGTGGATTCATGCAGAACATGCAGGGGTGAGTAAAATAGCTTGGGACTGCTTGGGACCGTTGTTTTGGTACTGAGTGAGCCAAAAATAATAATGATTTTCTTCGGGACCCAGTGGTCTTAGAGTTACCTCTATGGTAGAGCTCTACAATTAGGTACGCAATCTGGCACTCCAAGAAAGCAACCAGCCGGGCGAATCACGAGGGAGCGTTGAGCGCTCAAGCGAGACTATCCCCCTTATTCTGCGAGTCACGTGACTCTCTGTCACCGGTGAGGTGACAATTGTCACCTCGTGTGAGGTGACTCTCCATGTAAATCAAATGGAGAGTCACCTCACACGAGGTGACTATTGTCACCTCACCGGTGAGAGAGAGTCACGTGACTCGCAGAATAGGGGGGTATAGCTCAAGATTATAGCGAATTTGTTTTAGATTCAGTTCCAACCTGGATCGGGTATCAAGATTGGGTCTGCTCGTTAGATGTCAAACATCAGTGTAAACGTTTGTTTTTGTAACCTGGCTCGGGTTGAGGTTCGCATTGGCAAAGAGTTCGATTTCGCACTGGGTTGGAGCTCGGGTTCGCACAGGTTGGAACTGGTTAACGCTCGGTGGTAGTAGTATAGGATTATCAGATAAGTTTTTGTTCTTGTTTCTTTCTCTCTCCCATCAGTTAAATTTTAAGTTTGTGTTTCTGTGTTTGTATTTTTTTTTCTCGTGTATTGTGTCCGAGTAATTTTGATTATCGTTGCAGTGGTAGAGCGTTTTTCGCTCCCACTAGTACGGCAAAATGGACATTTTGTCGGAAGACGAAATGGACGTTTTGTCGGAAGATGACACCACTTTGCCACGCGATAGCAAGAAGGGTCGAAAACGTCTGTCATCCCAGAAATCAGATGATGTCATCCCTGGTTCGTCATCTCAGTCTGGTAATGGGCAGGGACAGATAAGCCCCCGATCGCGAGCCTACCCAGAAGACTCGACTGGCCCATGGGTTGTTTACTTTCAGCCCAAAAAGAAACCTTTGAATGTAATGCAAATTACTAATGATCTGACGAAGCGGTTCTCGGCCGTGACCGAAATCTCGAAGGTGAGGTACAATAAACTTCGCGTTGTCGTCTCTAACCTGAAACAAGCTAACGAGATTGCTGCCTCCCAGCTCTTTACACTCGAGTATAGAGTGTACATCCCAGCTCGTAATGTGGAGATCGAAGGTGTGGTCACCGAAGCGAGTCTGACCCCCGAGATCTTGGCGAAGCAAGCGGTTGGCCGTTTCAAAAACCCCTTGCTTCCCACGGTTGAGATACTGGAAGTCCAGAAGCTGAACTCAGTATCTTTCAGCGAGGGTAAAAAGAGCTTTACCCCCACAGACTCGTTTCGAGTGACCTTTTCTGGTTCAGCCCTTCCTCACTACATCGAGTTGGGAAAACTTCGGCTACCTGTGCGTTTGTTTGTTCCTCGGGTCATGAACTGCCAAAACTGCAAACAGTTGGGACATACGGCCTCTCACTGTGGCAGCAAGGCACGCTGTTCTAAATGCGGGGAGAAGCACGAGGATGGCGCCTGCACAGTCACTGCACCAAAATGCGTGTACTGTAAGGGAACTCCTCATGGTCTCTCATCGTGCCCGGCGTACAAACAACGCGGGGAGAAACTAGAACGCTCTCTTAAGGAGCGTTCCAGGCAGTCTTTTGCAGCAATGCTAAAAACAGCCACACCATCAACCAACGACAAAAATCCCTTTGCTGTTTTGTCTGATGACGAGTCTGACTCTGACTTGGCTGAGGAGGGAGTTTCTTTCAGTTTTCCGGAAGGTTCTGCACGGAAACGAAAACGCATCCGTTCGCGGAAAGTTGCAGATAAGGAACCCCAAATCAGCTTGCCCAAATCAAGGAGTGATGGAAAAAAGGAAGTTTCAACTCCTCCTGGTTTCCGCAGAACTGACTATAACCAGAACTTTCCATCTCTCCCGGGGACATCAAAAACCCCTGATGGCCCATTTTTAAGAACAGAAGCCCCTTCTTCATCCGGGTTGTTCTCATTTGATAAAATTGTGGACGATATTCTCAAGTACCTCAATATTTCTGATCCTCTCAAAAGCATTGTTCTGGCAATGCTTCCTTCTGTGAAGACCCTCTTGAAGCAATTGACATTGAAGTGGCCCCTCATTGCAGCAATCATTTCCTTCGATGGATAATTTTCCAAACGAGGTCGGGGATTTGATCACTGTTCTACAGTGGAATTGTCGAAGTCTCATTCCTAAATTAGATTCTTTTAAGTTTTTAATTCACAATAATGATTGAGATGCATTTGCTGTTTGTGAAACTTGGCTCTCTTCAGATATCGATCTTCCTTTTTATGATTTTAACATTATTCGACTGGATCGTGAGGATTCGCGTGGAGGAGGGGTACTTTTGGGGATGAAAAAGTGCCATTCCTTCTATAGAGTGAATCTTCCACAATTTCCAGGTATTGAAGTTGTTGCATGTCAGGCTATTATTAAAGGTAAGAGCCTTTGTATTGCTTCTGTTTATATTCCTCCTAGAGCCGTTGTTAATCGCAAACAACTTTCAGATATCTGTTCGGTACTTCCTGCTCCACGGTTGATTATGGGAGATTTGAATTCCCACGGTACAGGCTGGGGGGAACTGCATGATGACAACCGTTCTACTTTGATATATGACCTCTGCGACAACTTTAATATGACAATTCTTAACAATGGAGAAGTAACACGTTTGGCTGGCCCATCCTCGAATGGAAGTAGATTAGACCTCACACTTTGCTCTAACTCATTATCGTTGGATTGCACGTGGAATGTGATCCAAGATCCCCACGGTAGTGATCACTTGCCGATCAAAGTTCCAGTTGCCAGTGGGTTCAATCCGTCGGAACCCGTTAACGTCGCGTACGATCTTACCCGTAATATCGATTGGACAAAGTTCAAGAATGTAATAGAAGATGCCCTAACGTCGGTAGAAGGGCTTCCACCGTTGGAGGAATATAACTTCCTCTCCAATCTGATCTTGGACAGCGCGCTCCAAGCTCAAACTCGGCCGGTTCCAGGAACGTCTTTCCGTAGGAAACCTCCTTCCCCTTGGTGGGACCAGCAATGCACTGAGGTTTATCGTAAAAAGTCCGACGCGTTTAAGCTTTTCCGGAAACGTGGAACACCCGTACATTTCGAAGCGTACTCGGCTCTTGAACGCGAACTCAAGAGCCTCATCAAAGCCAAGAAACGCGGATACTGGCGGCAATTCGTGGACGGATTATCGCGCGAAACGTCGATGAATACGCTTTGGAATGCGGCGCGAAGGATGCGTAACCGGTCTTCAAACAACGAGAGCGAGGAGTACTCCGATAGTTGGATTCTCAAGTTCGCGCGAAAAGTATGTCCTGATTCTGTGCCGGCACAGATGATTCCTCGCGAAACGACGAATTCGGTAGACGAGATCAGCCAGCCTTTTTCAATGCTGGAGCTCTCACTCGCGCTCCTTTCGTGTGGCAATTCGGCTCCGGGGGCTGATAGGATCAAGTTCGACTTGTTGAAGAACCTCCCAGACGTCGCTAAGAGGCGCATGTTGAACTTGTTTGGTCAGTTCCTGGAGCTTAATATTGTTCCGGATGATTGGAGGCGGGTGAGAGTTATAGCCATTAAAAAGCCTGGAAAACCCGCGTCAGATCACAATTCGTATCGTCCCATTGCGATGTTATCGTGTATTCGAAAATTGTTGGAGAAAATGATCCTTTTTCGCCTGGACAAATGGGTTGAGTTGAACCACCTACTCTCAGATACTCAATTTGGTTTCCGTAGGGGCAAGGGAACGAACGACTGTCTCGCGTTGCTTTCCACTGAAATTCAGTTGGCTTTTGCTAATAAAGAGCAAATGGCTTCTGTCTTCTTGGATATTAAGGGGGCTTTTGATTCAGTATCGGTTGAAGTCCTTTCAGACAAACTCCACGCTTGTGGCCTTTCTCCATTAATTAAT